ATATTACAATAACAAGATTAAAACATCATCTCGAATATAGAACATTCAAGAAACCGAGCTCTAACCAAGTAACAATAAGATATCAATCAAAAATTCCGTCATACGTTAAATATAATATATATAAAATGGAATACGAAAAAATCATAAATTGGACAAGCCAAGAAGCACATATAAACGAAGACCTAATAGAATTAAGGAAGAAGTTTCTTCTAGCAGGATTTCTGCAGAGATTGCTGAAACAATGGGAAATCAGACTTAATGACTCAAGAAACCTATGTAAAAATAAAAATAAGCAAGCAACTAAAACAAAATATATTAAGTTTCCATATATTAAAGGCCTATATGAACAAATCAGCACAGAAATAGGAAGAATAAACTACAAATTAGCACCATCATATCAAAAAATGGAGAACAGACTGTTAACCTCGAACCAGAAGAAAAACCAGTAAATACAAACTGAAGCCCAAAGTGTAGTATATAAAATTCCGTGTACCTGCACAAACAAAAAACATTACATAGGAGAAACAAAAAGAAAAGTAAAAACTAGATTGAAAGAACACATAACAGACCTAAAATACAATAGAATAAATTCTGCATTTTACAAACATTTGTACTCTAAACAACTGTAATATAGACAAAGATAATGTAGAAATACTGCATAAAGAAAAATTAATGTACTGTACAACAGAAAGTTTAAAGAAACCATAGAAATTATAAAAAGTAAAAACAATATAAATAAAAACCTAAATCTTAAAATAAACAAAAACAGCTCAATATACTATAAATAAAAAATTTTTCTGTGAAAAACAATCTTTCCAAAAAATAATTTCTGCAAGATTACAAGGTGGTGAACGTCATACGTGGCAACACTAAAGATACCAGCGCAAACACCAAAAAAGGAAAGGGGAAAAAGGGGGAACAACTCAAAAATTTTTAACCGTTGTATTGTGTCAAAGTCTATCCGAAAGAGAAGGTTTATGGAAGCTTTTAAATTGTAATGTATACCAGTTTATCCATAAAAGGATTAAAGCAGATTTTAAAAGATTTTAAATTATACAAAGTATAAGCAAAGGTACAGTAGGTCTATATATCATTTGTGTACTCGGTTTATATGTAAGTTCTCTACTGTAATAATATTTATTGTACTATAGTTGACTGAAGAGGGGCAAAGCGCAAAACGAGTACAAAATAATGTACCGTCTTGACTCAACTAATAAAAGAATTTGATGGAAAATTCGCCATGTGTCTTTGGAATAAAACACAATACTAGTGTTTACTACGCCAGAATTATAAAACGGCACGGTTTCAAAAAACAAATTCAATATCAGAATAATTACATTTTATTTTTTCTTATTTATAACTTAATTCTTTAAAAATTAATATTGGACAGATGCATGATAGAAAGATATTTAAATAGTAATAATAAACAAAACATATTTAAACAGATAGTCTTCAGTTAACATGGTAGGTCCTTGAAAATAATGTATTAAGTGAACTCACCATAGTAGCAGTACAAAAAAAGTAATGTGTAGCATAAAAAGATAATAAAAATACAAATATATCAGATGCACAAAAGCATTAAAAGTTTTATTCTTTTTGATACTTTCAAAATTTTAAAGTTAAAATTTATGTATTAAGTAATTAATTTATGTGTTGACAATGGATTATGTGAATAAGAATTTACTAGAAGCAATTATATTACTTTAAAGAAGTTTCTTTCAATATATGTTAGTGACAAATAACTCCATTTCCTAAATTCAATTTTTATAAACAAATTTTTGATAAATTGCAGATTTATAAATATTTTTACATCTCCAAATCTGATACAAAATAATTGTATAAATAAAAATGCATTGTTTAATGATAATATTTTATTACTGTTTAATAGATAGGCAAATGAATAATAACAATCCTTTTTTACATTATTGACATAAAATATTTTAAAATTCTTATATTATTTTTAAACATACAATTCAATTAATGATATGTGATTAATACAGAACTGAAGTTAATCAAAGATTATTATTATTGTTGTTATGTTTCAATATATATATAAGAATATATAATCATGGCATGCAATGTTAATAAGATTATCATGGCAAATAGTAAAATAAAACCAAGATATACAAAAAGAAAAACTGTTTCTAATAGTTAATTGCATAAAATATTTCAAACATTAAAAAGAAATATATTAATACATGCAATACATTATTTGTTTAAATAAATTCATTCTATAAGCAAACAGAATAAGTTACAGAATTTAAAAACAAAACAAAATTTATATTACATAAAACAGATTTAGTATATTAATTAAATTTTTTGAAAACTATTAAAAAATTAATTGTTTAATTTATAAAAATACATAAAAATATAAAAAGTACATAGTATTTAACAAAAATATACAATATATTGTGTTGTTATATTATCAATTAGAAAATTTATTAGTATTTTATTTACTATAACATATATAATATATATCATATAATTTTGAACAATGAAAAAACTTTAAACTGTCAAATATAATTTTATATGTACAAAACAAAAATCATGTAGAAACCAGTAAAATTGTAAAAAAAATCATAATTTTAGAAAAGAAAATTTTATTTCAAATAAAAAGAACTGCATTTATTTGAGAGCTTAATAAGAATAATGTTTAATGTAAAGAATTTAGTAACTTTTTATGAACAATAAAATCCTGAGGATGGAGCATAGTTCTGAATTGCTTGGTATATAGGAAATAAATGATGAATTTTTGAATAAAGCAATGTATTATATGATGATTTAACAACATTCTAATAAAGTTTTTAAAAATTTTTCAAATAAACCTTCATTATTAAAATTTTCTTACAAAAATTAAAAATTATACTTTATCATCTCTTCAATGAGGAATTTACATTTAATTTAGATAATGTTTACTGAATATTAGTTACAAATCTGTAAACTGTAGATATAATTTAAGTTATACAAATTCAAAAAATTTTTATTGCGTATGTGATTTAAATACATACATTACAAAAAGAAATTATGCTTAAAAGTTAAATGCAACAAAAGACAAACAATAAAAATACATTACAGTTATGCTTTTTGCAAAAAAAATAACATGCTTTTTTATAATAAATATTAATAGATAGTATAAAAAGGAAATTATTATTATTATTAATATTAAGAAGTTAAAATTTAAAAATACAAAAATGAATTAATTGTACTTTAGAAATTTAATGCTATGTTTTAGTAAGCAAGCTCTTTAAGAATACATTCCTTGAATATTTGAATCTTTATAATTACACAATATTAAAACAGGTATTTTTCCTGTTTGTACTTTATACACTGCAAGCAGGAAAATTCCATGAATTAAATCATAATATAAATAAAATGCTTGCAATTATGCATTTATTTTATTATTTTATATAAATGGGAAAATTATTATTATTACTTCATTTATCCTAAATTATTTTCATTATGATTATACAATAATTTTCATCAAGTATATTAACAGTTACTTAATACAAATAATAATCTAGTATTAATTAAATTTTATATTCATGATTAAATAAATTATTAAATTACTAATCAAAATACTTTTAGTATGAATTAAAAAAACAGTAGAAATTTTTTTTACAAGTCTGAGAAGGAAAAATCACTAAGTTTTAAAATATATATTTTATTTATGCCAATTCAATATACACTGGCATTTCCAGAAATTTAATCCTAGTATAAAAGAAGAGCCTACTGTTTATTAATATCAACATATCAAACATAAATTAGTAGAATATTTAGTCTTGTATTGTTTTAACATGCATAATATACCTAAAACTAATTATATAATTAATTTTTAATTTTTTTATAGTCAATAGTTATATTTTATTAAAAAATAGACAGATATAAGTTAGTACATATATTAATTATTGCAATAATATACCTTGTTTCAGGGACAATCAATAATGAAGAATCAGTTGAATAATTATGGTTAATTCTAGTTAATTTTGATGCAGTATAATGCTTTCCTCCTAATGCTTTATCATTCTAAATTAAAAATATAAAGTATAACTTTTATGACAAATAATTTGCATTAATTTAAAAAAATTATATCTTAGAGTTATAAGATACACTGGTCTAACTAAAAGTCCTGATGATTTACTGGGTGATGAGTTGACATAAGAATGATGAGAATGATCAGCTCCCGCTGAACTTGAAGCTTCTGTAAATGTATAAATGGATGATGCTAAATTTGATGCTCCAACAACTTTGTCAGTTGGTCTAGGACGTTTGTTTGTAAGTGAACTTGTGCTGCTACTATCTGAAGATGTTCTTTTTACAGCAGCTGGTCCATAAGATAAATTTGTTTCATCCTAATGAATGTCAATCAATATCAATATTAATATAATGCAGTAAAAAATATTTAAAATTAAATCATTATCACATTCATAAATATATTAATAATAAATAAAATATAAGACAGATATGCTAAATTTATAATAATTAATAAAGTCAAATATTAATATTAATGCAAATAATTGGTATTTTAATTATAAACTGTTATTCAACTTTAAAAAAATAATAAAACTCATTAATGACTCTTAAAACAATTTCTTTTTCGATAATAAGATTTTCTAAATCCACTCNCCACAATATAAGGGCTAAAATTAAAAATAAAATTATAAAAACTTACTTGGTGAAATAAAATGTGTGGTGGATATACATACATGATACAAAACATTCTTCAATTGTATGAATATACTTTTAAAGAAAATTATAATTAAATATAGCTTTGTAATGAAACATACATAAAAATAACATAAAATATTCTTTACTCTTTTAAATCTTAACCACTTAGTCAAATAGCTCCCTACGAGTGGAATCAGAGACGGTCCTGCTAGGTGTGCGGTGTGTATATGCATGCGGACTGCCAAATCCCGAGGGTGCCGATACCGGTCAATTTCAAATGCCTTTTTTGTCGCATCACTAATATACCTCAAAAGACGCGACAGGGTTCTTGTAAATTTTAAATGTTTATCACCATAGAAGTAAAAGTTTAAATATGTTAAACTTAATAGATTGTCCATCGTTTGTTTTCTAACTAATTCGTTTTAGTACCAGGTGGTGTCCATGGAAATTTCCAAAATTTACAACTTTTCGGTCACTCTCGTTGAACTGGAAAAATGTCTGTCTTTATTACATCTAATATTTTGAAGAAATCAGTCCCACTGTACTCGGCTAGAGATTGATTCGATTAGGCTTTTGTTCAAGTAAAATTTCGGCTCTTTCATCAGTTTTGTTTATGTCCCTAATTTCCTAATTGCTTAATTATTTAACTACTACTTAAGTAGAAATAAGTCAAAATTGGTTACTTTGTACTCAAATATTTGTAGTCTCGGGAAAAAAGTGGAAAGACAAAGTTTTATGACAAACGGATATATAAATCGTAAATTAAGGAAAATAAATTCTAGAGCTTTTTCTGTACCTCGTACAGAAAAAGCTTTTTCTGTACGAGGTACAAGAGCTTTTTCTGTACCTCGTACATCTCTCTCATTCATTTAATTTAGTTGTAAATTATGCTACCAAAGTAACAGTTAATTTTTTAACATTATACAAGAATTGTACACATTTTTTTTCTACATCCTTACCCTTAAAGATGGAGCATACGAAATCTTAATATCACTGGTTTAACATTGAAATCCGTGAGTAATATAAAATTGGAGAGCAGAATAAATATATCAAATATTTTAACCATTTTTTTTAAACTCCTGTCAACTATACAGAAAACTATCAAAAAAACATACAGGTAAATTCTTATCAGTTGGGTTAAGTTATAAATCTACTCATGATTCATGTAATCGGGTGAGGGCAACCAAATATCTAGCGGGCAGGCGGCTAACAGCCCAGAACCGGTTCTGGATAGAATTGGATACGTTATACATTTAGCAGCCACCCAAGGTCCTAGGCTTCCACCGGCTAAATCGGGTGAGGTTGGTGCTCTGTAAAGCAAATGCACGAATCTGGCTTTTTGGATGCAGACAATACAGCGTTTCCACTCCACTATTCTGCCACTAATATTCGAATATACAATAGCAATCTTATCTTTTTTTTCACGTGTAGTATAGAAATTTGTAATAAGATACATAATGCGGTTATAATATTGTGCAATTATTTTCATATAATTAAAATTAATATGTATTTATTTTTTAGAAAATATAAGGGAAGCAGTGCATCCACCGCTTCTAATGACGGCACACCACTGGTCAAATCTGTCTAAAAGTGCAGAAGTTCTTGTCAAAATTCTAGTTGAACATACTGATGAAGTATTTTTGGTCATTAACCACTCTTTGTAGCCTATTAATACCTCAATCTTAATATTCTGCATTTTTTATAATGAATTTTTATTACACTTCTTAATAATGCTTTTTTATAGTTATATATTACTTATTAATTATGCTATATGTTGCCTGAATTCAGAAGTAGGATGGCAAGAGCAAGATCAAAAACAAAAACTAAAAACTGTCAGTGTAAGCTTGGGTACTTTTCTGAAAGTTCTGCCTTTGTTCTTGTCATCCATGCCTGTTAGAAAATTTCCAGAGGAGGGGTCCAGTGGAAAAAGAAACATGTTATATTTTCTTTAAAGCCTATGTTACAAAATAACTTTTCATGTCTTCAAGAAAATCTTCAATTGCCTAAAATAATCCTTGGATGCAATGTCACAAATATATTTACAACTCTGTGAATATCGACACGAAAATCATAATGCCAATGAATTAGGGGTAGTCTGATAAGATGATGCTCTCGTCTTCTCAACATTCTGGCTAACCCTTTGCATTCACATGATGCTGTGGGGATTATGTCACAAAGTTTTAGCAACACAAAAATGTTTGGAAACATAACTGGATTGCATGTTTTCAACAATTCAGCTAAAGTGCATGGCAACTTTTCGTGCTAATCCAGTTCTTCCATCGATATATCTTGCCTTCAAGAAACTCAGGACTAGGCAGGTCATCATAATATATGTCAATGAGTCTCTCAGGAATACAGTTGATCTCTTTTAAAATTTAATTTTTATCAAATAGCTTGAAAATATCACATTAATATATTATCTTAGAAACTTCTATAATACTGTAGAAAACCTTTAATATTATATGTATGTATGTATTGGGAATCTTCTTACCTATGCCTGGGTCACCATTCATTGTTAATCAACATTTATATAATAAAAACAAAATTCAAGCTTTAAAAAAATTGTATTTTTTTTTATTGTTAAACAGTATAAACATCAACTGGAGCCCAGCTTTGTGATGTATTATAACCCTAGATGGTGGAAAAAGGAGATCTACTAACCCATTAGACCCCCCACTGACAACACACATGCCCTGCCCCATAATTCTTTTAATTTCCTCCTTAATTCAGCAACTATTATTTTCTTTAAATCCAGGTTTTTACAAGCAGACCAAAACATCTGCTCAGCTTCCACTATTTTATGCACTCTGGAAGTTAAGTATACATCAAGCTGACACTAGCACTGCCAGTGACTAGATCTAAACTGTTCACACCCCATTACAATAATCCAGCCTCTCAGATAATCTTCCAAATATTCAATTGAAAGGAAACTGAGTGTACCCCAGCACTAGATGAAGTAGACACCAGATGAAAACTGGTATCCTATTGTCATCAGATACTGTATGTATTGTTCAAGCTATTCTATTCCCTGTTTTCATAATGTAACATTTTAAATTATTTGTTTGATGTTAATTTAAAAATTATTACAATATATATTATCTTAATTATTGTAATTTCATTATCAGATTCTGGCATAGTAAACACTAGTATTGTGTTTTATTCCAAAGACATCAAGTTTTTCATCAAATTCCTTTATTAACAAGACTATGTAACAAGAAGATATAACAAGACCAACCATTAACTACCTAGATATTACAATAACAAGATTAAAACATCATCTCGAATATAGAACATTCAACCAAGCTCTAACCAAGTAACAATAAGATATCAATCAAAAATTCCGTCATACGTTAAATATAATATATATAAAATGGAATACGAAAAAATCATAAATTGGACAAGCCAAGAAGCACATATAAACGAAGACCTAATAGAATTAAGGAAGAAGTTTCTTCTAGCAGGATTTCTGCAGAGATTGCTGAAACAATGGGAAATCAGACTTAATGACTCAAGAAACCTATGTAAAAATAAAAATAAGCAAGCAACTAAAACAAAATATATTAAGTTTCCATATATTAAAGGCCTATATGAACAAATCAGCACAGAAATAGGAAGAATAAACTACAAATTAGCACCATCATATCAAAAAATGGAGAACAGACTGTTAACCTCGAACCAGAAGAAAAACCAGTAAATACAAACTGAAGCCCAAAGTGTAGTATATAAAATTCCGTGTACCTGCACAAACAAAAAACATTACATAGGAGAAACAAAAAGAAAAGTAAAAACTAGATTGAAAGAACACATAACAGACCTAAAATACAATAGAATAAATTCTGCATTTTACAAACATTTGTACTCTAAACAACTGTAATATAGACAAAGATAATGTAGAAATACTGCATAAAGAAAAATTAATGTACTGTACAACAGAAAGTTTAAAGAAACCATAGAAATTATAAAAAGTAAAAACAATATAAATAAAAACCTAAATCTTAAAATAAACAAAAACAGCTCAATATACTATAAATAAAAAATTTTTCTGTGAAAAACAATCTTTCCAAAAAATAATTTCTGCAAGATTACAAGGTGGTGAACGTCATACGTGGCAACACTAAAGATACCAGCGCAAACACCAAAAAAGGAAAGGGGAAAAAGGGGGAACAACTCAAAAATTTTTAACCGTTGTATTGTGTCAAAGTCTATCCGAAAGAGAAGGTTTATGGAAGCTTTTAAATTGTAATGTATACCAGTTTATCCATAAAAGGATTAAAGCAGATTTTAAAAGATTTTAAATTATACAAAGTATAAGCAAAGGTACAGTAGGTCTATATATCATTTGTGTACTCGGTTTATATGTAAGTTCTCTACTGTAATAATATTTATTGTACTATAGTTGACTGAAGAGGGGCAAAGCGCAAAACGAGTACAAAATAATGTACCGTCTTGACTCAACTAATAAAAGAATTTGATGGAAAATTCGCCATGTGTCTTTGGAATAAAACACAATACTAGTGTTTACTACGCCAGAATTATAAAACGGCACGGTTTCAAAAAACAAATTCAATATCAGAATAATTACATTTTATTTTTTCTTATTTATAACTTAATTCTTTAAAAATTAATATTGGACAGATGCATGATAGAAAGATATTTAAATAGTAATAATAAACAAAACATATTTAAACAGATAGTCTTCAGTTAACATGGTAGGTCCTTGAAAATAATGTATTAAGTGAACTCACCATAGTAGCAGTACAAAAAAAGTAATGTGTAGCATAAAAAGATAATAAAAATACAAATATATCAGATGCACAAAAGCATTAAAAGTTTTATTCTTTTTGATACTTTCAAAATTTTAAAGTTAAAATTTATGTATTAAGTAATTAATTTATGTGTTGACAATGGATTATGTGAATAAGAATTTACTAGAAGCAATTATATTACTTTAAAGAAGTTTCTTTCAATATATGTTAGTGACAAATAACTCCATTTCCTAAATTCAATTTTTATAAACAAATTTTTGATAAATTGCAGATTTATAAATATTTTTACATCTCCAAATCTGATACAAAATAATTGTATAAATAAAAATGCATTGTTTAATGATAATATTTTATTACTGTTTAATAGATAGGCAAATGAATAATAACAATCCTTTTTTACATTATTGACATAAAATATTTTAAAATTCTTATATTATTTTTAAACATACAATTCAATTAATGATATGTGATTAATACAGAACTGAAGTTAATCAAAGATTATTATTATTGTTGTTATGTTTCAATATATATATAAGAATATATAATCATGGCATGCAATGTTAATAAGATTATCATGGCAAATAGTAAAATAAAACCAAGATATACAAAAAGAAAAACTGTTTCTAATAGTTAATTGCATAAAATATTTCAAACATTAAAAAGAAATATATTAATACATGCAATACATTATTTGTTTAAATAAATTCATTCTATAAGCAAACAGAATAAGTTACAGAATTTAAAAACAAAACAAAATTTATATTACATAAAACAGATTTAGTATATTAATTAAATTTTTTGAAAACTATTAAAAAATTAATTGTTTAATTTATAAAAATACATAAAAATATAAAAAGTACATAGTATTTAACAAAAATATACAATATATTGTGTTGTTATATTATCAATTAGAAAATTTATTAGTATTTTATTTACTATAACATATATAATATATATCATATAATTTTGAACAATGAAAAAACTTTAAACTGTCAAATATAATTTTATATGTACAAAACAAAAATCATGTAGAAACCAGTAAAATTGTAAAAAAAATCATAATTTTAGAAAAGAAAATTTTATTTCAAATAAAAAGAACTGCATTTATTTGAGAGCTTAATAAGAATAATGTTTAATGTAAAGAATTTAGTAACTTTTTATGAACAATAAAATCCTGAGGATGGAGCATAGTTCTGAATTGCTTGGTATATAGGAAATAAATGATGAATTTTTGAATAAAGCAATGTATTATATGATGATTTAACAACATTCTAATAAAGTTTTTAAAAATTTTTCAAATAAACCTTCATTATTAAAATTTTCTTACAAAAATTAAAAATTATACTTTATCATCTCTTCAATGAGGAATTTACATTTAATTTAGATAATGTTTACTGAATATTAGTTACAAATCTGTAAACTGTAGATATAATTTAAGTTATACAAATTCAAAAAATTTTTATTGCGTATGTGATTTAAATACATACATTACAAAAAGAAATTATGCTTAAAAGTTAAATGCAACAAAAGACAAACAATAAAAATACATTACAGTTATGCTTTTTGCAAAAAAAATAACATGCTTTTTTATAATAAATATTAATAGATAGTATAAAAAGGAAATTATTATTATTATTAATATTAAGAAGTTAAAATTTAAAAATACAAAAATGAATTAATTGTACTTTAGAAATTTAATGCTATGTTTTAGTAAGCAAGCTCTTTAAGAATACATTCCTTGAATATTTGAATCTTTATAATTACACAATATTAAAACAGGTATTTTTCCTGTTTGTACTTTATACACTGCAAGCAGGAAAATTCCATGAATTAAATCATAATATAAATAAAATGCTTGCAATTATGCATTTATTTTATTATTTTATATAAATGGGAAAATTATTATTATTACTTCATTTATCCTAAATTATTTTCATTATGATTATACAATAATTTTCATCAAGTATATTAACAGTTACTTAATACAAATAATAATCTAGTATTAATTAAATTTTATATTCATGATTAAATAAATTATTAAATTACTAATCAAAATACTTTTAGTATGAATTAAAAAAACAGTAGAAATTTTTTTTACAAGTCTGAGAAGGAAAAATCACTAAGTTTTAAAATATATATTTTATTTATGCCAATTCAATATACACTGGCATTTCCAGAAATTTAATCCTAGTATAAAAGAAGAGCCTACTGTTTATTAATATCAACATATCAAACATAAATTAGTAGAATATTTAGTCTTGTATTGTTTTAACATGCATAATATACCTAAAACTAATTATATAATTAATTTTTAATTTTTTTATAGTCAATAGTTATATTTTATTAAAAAATAGACAGATATAAGTTAGTACATATATTAATTATTGCAATAATATACCTTGTTTCAGGGACAATCAATAATGAAGAATCAGTTGAATAATTATGGTTAATTCTAGTTAATTTTGATGCAGTATAATGCTTTCCTCCTAATGCTTTATCATTCTAAATTAAAAATATAAAGTATAACTTTTATGACAAATAATTTGCATTAATTTAAAAAAATTATATCTTAGAGTTATAAGATACACCCATTTAAAATTATCTTTGTTTTTAAAGTTATCAAAACTAGATTATTTTATCTCTTGACACTGGTAAAAATTTATTATTTGGTAGCAAAATATTAATTTAAAATTAATGACAGTTTTAATATTTTAATAGACAAAATAATAAAAATAAGTTTCTAATAATTAATTTTTAGTCATATACAAAATACAAAAATAAGAACAAACATTTATTAGTACATTGTAAATTCTTTGTTAAAACTTGTTTGATTGTCTGTTTCTTAGTAAGTCATATATTTAATGTAAAGGTATTATATTTACAGCTATTATAGTATTTTCACTTATTGCAAATATAATAATACTTATTAACAGATTTATATTAAATATATACAGGGTTTAATAGAGAATGAACCTATTAAATAAATTAAATAGAAATTAAATTTTTAAAATACATTATAGCTATTTTATAAATGCATTAATCGAACAGAAACATACTCAGAAATTAATCAATCAAATAACCAACATCTTATTCATTGCTGAGGGAGTTTAATTAAAAAAACAAACATTTTCAATCTACTCCATAGATCATCTTCAGGTTGAGGGTCAGAGAACATAAGTATGATGTTAGGATAAGATCAAATGCAACAATGCTGGCCCAGATGGCTCAAGCCCAAGGGTCCATGTTTGGATGGGAGGAGGTGGAAATCGTCAGACAAGTACACTCTCCAACTTTAGCAAAGACTTCCATAAAAAATGAAAATATACAGGACCAAACTTGATGAAAGATCCATAAATGCCAGAGATGCAGAGGGCCTACCCTTGGCATGGAAATTTGCCATTAAAGGACTTACAAGTAGCTTATGAATTGCACCATTATCCACAATCAAGTTATGAGAACTTTTATATTTTTTATTTATTAATTGATAGCGGCTTGTACTATTAATTCATTATTGATGTATGTTATTTATTTTTACATTTATGTATTTTTACGCTTTAATTGTTTTACTTGGTTGTTCAGTTGTCTATATTTTTGTTTTTGAATCTGAATTTGGCGTTCTATTCTATGATAGTTATTCCATATTCGTTGGTTTCAACCTGAAGATGATCTGTGGAGTAGATCGAAAATGTTTGTTTTTTTAATAAACTCCCTCTGCAACGAATAAGGTGTTGGTTATTTGATTGCATTAATGTATATTAATATAATAGCGAAATTTTAGTGTCTGTTGGTGTTAAATATTTAATGCCAACACACAGTTTCACATGCCAACATAAAATTTCATTATTATTGTAAGATATTGGCATAAAATAGAAGTAAAATCTTACATATCTTGTATAAATTTTATTTTGGAAAACGAATGCAAATCTAATATCAATATCAATCTTTATTAGTAAGCCCTGTTACAGTACTCAGGGGCTAAGTACTTACAATTATCAAGAGGAAAATATACTTTTTACAAACAGAAAATCAAAATTTACATCAATAATTATTTTCTTACGAGTTCTTAGATTTTGTCTATTATTTGCTAGTTTCATCTTCTTTCACAAGTTTAATTACAAAGTTATACAAATTTTTCCAAATTATAGTCCGATTATTTACGGCATTCGTGGGTATCTATTTGCTAAGCATCAAGTTTTGGTGGATGTTTATATCTGTAAAGTTATACAAGCTGTACAGCTCCTTCTTTGAAAGTTTATTCAGGTTTTCTCTAAAGTCTTGAGTTGAACTTTGCTGTATTATGTGAGATATTCCAACTGACTTTGTATTTGAGTGAACTTCTCACAGTCATTCAGTATGTGTAATATTGGAAAAATTGCTTGAGTCGCACCAATAACAATTTTTATTTAAAAAATTTATATATTTATTTCCAATGAATAATGGGCTTTTATTTAAATGTAATTGAATTGTTAGTCTTTTAACATTTATTCCCAATGGATAGTTTATATATGGTTGTAGTGAAGGAACTTTTAATATTTTTGGATACCATGAGTGATGCTTTGATTGACAAATGCAAATCTAATATTAACTTAGCCTGATAAAAATTAGACATTTATCTATCTGGACAAAACCAGATATTATGAATATTCAGTCTCATATCTTTTAAAAATTTAAATTTTTCTGACATACATTATCCTCTGATGGCATATATATTAGTTTTATAATACAGTGGGTGATTGGTTAACGAACATAATTCGTTCCAAGACTTTGTTCGTTATCTGAACTGTTCGTTAACCGATTATCGATTTACCATAGGTTTCTATGGGAATTTGATTAATTCGTTCTGGACACTCCCAAAAAATAAAAAATATATACTTTCTTACTACGTTTATTCATACGTAATAATAAAAATACATATATACACAGTCTTGCATTTTTATTTGTCATGTTTTTTCCGTTTATGGGGGTTAAAGAATCTGTCCAATGTCGATTGCTTTTCTGTCTTCTTCATGATTTTTCAGAAGTAATTAATCGCATTGTAATTGCAGAGATCCCTAAGCTCAACCTCAACCTGGTTTGGATGCCATTTTAAGACCATTTTTCTGACATCCTCCCACTTCTTTTGAAGAAGTGGGAGGATGTCAGAAAAATGTCAGAAAAATCCTCCCACTTCTTTTGAAGAAGTGGGAGGATGTCAGAACAAGCTTTTTCAGAAGAAAACATAAAAGAATTGTTTCTATCAGAAATATAAAAGGCTGGAATTACAAGGGAGAGTTTCAAAGTTCGGGGGAATACTATCCGATCTGTATATTCTGGGTTGAACGTTGATGTCGACGTCTCCCGCGCTCTGAAAGGTTTCGAATTGTTGCCTGAAGACAAAGGAAGACCAATTAGTATTTGTTACTTTACGTCGCTTCTTCTTGTGTTTGTTCAGTGAAGTGTTCGTTATCCGAACATGTGTTCGTTGTCCGATCATAAAAATCTTTGTTCGTTATCCGATTTGTTCTAACCGATCACCCACTGTATATCTAAATTGTGTAATTTTTAGTATTTTAATATAAAATGGTAAACATTATTATAAAAGTAATATACACAACACATTCAACTATTAGTGACATACATACTATTTATACATGTATGTTTTAAATGTTTATCATTTTTCTTATCTTCTCAAGCATTCTGCCTCTTCCCAGTTTTTTCATTTTATTTCCACTAGCAACTCATTGTAGATGTATTTATAAAGTAAGTGAAATAGATATGAGATCAAACCACTAAACTGCATTAAATATCAAAAATATTAATTATACCTATTCGAAAACTGACAAACTGAGCTCTTTTCCTGGTTTGTGAGTTTTTGCAAAAAAACTGACAAACCGGGAAAAGAGCTCAGACCTTTGGTGGACAAAGCCAGAACACCAACTATCAATTTAGAGAAAGCTATGCACAGATTATTAGTACCTCACCTGGAAGGGTACACACACACCATAACCAAATTGGCAATCTAGTTAACATACTTAAACAGATATCAACACCTCCTAAATTTATAACTGTTTTGGACTTCAAATCTTTGTACCCTTCCATCAAACTTCCGTCAGTATTTTGCGCCATAAGAGATACACTCATGCACACGATCCAAGACAACACGTTACAACATAACATCCTAGAAATGGCACACCTGCTCTGCTACAACTCCTCCTTTAAATTCAATGGAGTTACCTACGAACAATAATGTGGTGTACCAATGGGAAGCCCAGTCACAGGAGACCTCTGCGAGATTGTGGTGTGGAAACTCAAATCATACCATCTCAACTCCCACACATTCTCGTATACAAAAGATACATCAATGATATCCTTATATTATGGAAAGAGATACCAAATATCCCGACGCTAATCAATACCATCAACAATAACCCGTATGGATTAATGGTGGAAATAAACCAAGCCCACTCCACCTCCAGGCACACTTCTTAGACATTAACATCAAAATAGAGGGATCATGCATCAACATGGAAGTGTATCATAAACCAACCGCCAAACCTCTGTATATACCTGCAACTTCCTGTGACCCATCACAGTACAAGACGGCAGCTTTCAAGGCTTTAATCAAAAGAGCTTATTCACATTCCTCGTCACAAATAGCTTTCCATTCTGAAATCCAACGCATAGAGCAAATAGCCAAACAACATGGCTATCACAACACCTTACACAAGATAAACAACAAGGTCCTCCAACAACAAGCCAATAACACCCCTCATTCCAATGATTCTCCAGTTAACTACATACCAGTCACATACAACCTGGCACTTAAGACCATATACAACCAGATAGCCAAGAAAAAGAATGTCCGCTTAGCATTTAGGAGGTGCACTACAATATTCGATTGGCTTAAAAATGAAAAAGATGCTCCAGATACAAACAGACTTCCAGGGGTATACTCCATGCCCATCATTGACCATAGAGATAACAGCGAAGTAATCTACATTGGATCCACTAAACGCAACTTAGAACCTAGGATCAAGGAACACAAGGTGGACACCCTACATCATAGAAACAACACCACCCTAGCAGTATACTCCTCTGAACCGGAAATAGAGCCTCTATTCCCTATAGCCAGAATTATTCACACTGCATTCCGCACAGAACACCTCAAATGAGAGTGGCCATATACATATGCCTTAACACCCTCAGGAATAAGCACTGCATTAACTTCAAACAAGAAATGACACTAACAGTAGCATGGGAGACCTTTCTCAATAAAACTCTAAAGTAACACCATACTGATAATGCGCAGGTCCAAAATGATGCCACTGGTCACATCTGACAATGTTCCAGAAAGATTTTCCAAGCCAATGGTTAATTTTTGACTGGAAATTCAAATTCAAATAGAGAATTTCATAGCACCTGAAGAAGAACCACATTAGGTTCGAAAACGTTTGCATAGTCCTCTGCTTTCATTGGAGAAGAAGCACACCGGTTACAGGCAGTGAAGTTGGGTTAAAAATGAT